TATCTTTCCTGTGCCAAACTGTGTTTATGCTTTGTCAAAGATCAAATGGCTGTATTTGTGTAAGTCTGTTTCTGGAGTTTCTATTTTGTTCCATTGATCTCTGTGTCTGTATCTTCTATCTGGCTCTCTTTTAACTAAAAAATAGTAATAAATAAACCCCAGAAATATTTGTCATGTGTCATGAGCAATAGAGGGTGGATGGGGGAGAAAACAGTCCCCTGTGGGCCCGAGAACTAGCAGCAATTGATCCTCTCTATCACCTATGTCCTGCCCCCTCCTAGCTCAGACCTGATGGAAACTGAGCTGAATAGATCAATAAAGTTACCAGGTAACTTCATGGTGTAACCAGTTAATAAAACCAAATGTCTTCTTCCTTAAACACTTTCCTCACTCTCAGTGTGTTCTTCGTGGTGTCAACTGAAAAATATGCCAGGCTCACATAACTCAGTGCAGAGGGAAGAAGCTGTACCCTGACTTAAGGAAAAGTTTCAGATGAAAATACAACTAACTCTGCTTCCCATGCAGGGAGATACAAAAATGGAAACATCTCTTATGACTTAATTTGAAAATAAATTTCATCTAAGCCATAGCAGGAGTTTTATTACATCAACAACTGGTCTCTGTTAAAAAGAAGTTTCTGGGTTACCTTTCAGCATGGGCCCTTTGCATGAGGAAAATCCAGAATGACATTCCAGTGCACAAAAATATAGATGGGTGGACACACAGAGAGATGGAAACATTTCTAGATAGTCTCCTTTCCTTTCCCCTAGCCCAAACTGGGATCATTTGCTATATACTATTTTGTAACTAAAATAGGTTGTCTTTGCTGCATAGAAAGCTGGGGTTGATAGCACTAATTATTTCTCATTATTTCTTTTGATCACAGGTGAGAGCAGTGGTAGAGTCATTGGTGTTAAGTAAACACATGTTTTCTCCCTTCAGGCTGATGTTGGAGGACTTCTCCTCTTTCTGGGTGTATTAGGATAATAATTGCAGCTAAGAAATCATGTACTGTTTATTGACATGGCCAGATGGAGCCATTACTTTTACAAAGACACATGGGTGTTTGGATTCCAAGATCCACATGGCATCTTCTAATTATTGGCCAGTTTTTCAGCAGTCCTGACAGTTTTAGGCTATGAATAGTGGCTTCTTTCACATGCAAACATATCTTATCCTGTTTCTCTGCTCTTTCTGAGTTGAAGTCAGCTTTTAAAACAGACGTTATCTGGGGATGCCTGGGTGGCTCAGTCAGTTAAGTGTTTGCCTTTGGCTCAGGTCATGATCCCAGGGTCCTGGGATCAAGTCCAGCATCGGGCTCCTTGCTCAGTGGGGAGCCTTCTTCTCCCTCAGCCTGCTGCTCTCCGTGCTTGTGCTCTGTCTCTGTCTCTCTCGGATATAAATAAAATCTTATTTTTTTTTTTTAAAGGGACATTATCTGATTCCCTTTCTACTATTCATGATGGTGCTCCCAAAGTGAATGAATGAGCATCTATTCATTATTTACCTTTTACTTTTCTCACTTTATCTTATGCCTCTAGGTAGGATGGGATTAGACTGAAGAATGAGAAAAGGGGCCACCCTCATATATTCATTTGTTTATTCGTTCATTCATTCATTCATTCTGCAGATATTTATTGAGAACCTACTCTGTGTCAAGTACTTTGCCTTCGAGGGGCACATAGTACAACAGGTGATAGATACAAGTGGTCTAGGAGCACTACATAGAGTCCCTTATTCAGCCTTGAGAATTAGAGAAGGTCTGTATATGAGTTAGCCTAGTGAAGGGGGAAGGAGATAGGGGAGAGTACCCAAGCAGAGAGCATTGCCTATGTAAATTCCAGAGAAGATGTCAATGATTTTTCAGAGGACTGCAATGATATTGGTATTACAGGAGTATAGAGTGCAGAGGTAGGTTTTTTATTGTCCAGTATTTGATTGTACAGTATTATTTCAACACACACACACACACACACACCCTAGAATATCCTCCCTAGATAGGGAATATATTCTTGAGTCCACCATTGGCCCCACCCCTTTCCATTGTTCTACTCTATCCTGATTTATTTTATTATCTGCCCAACCCATGTAGGTGTTTGAGTTTGGGACCTTCTACCTCTGAACCTAGATAAAGATCAAGCTCAAGCTATCTCGGTTGCCATTTCTGGTATGACAGGAAAGGAGACTAGCTTTTTGATGGGACTCTGAAGACCAACCCAGTGAAAGATCTTACCCCAGAGATAAGACCAGGACAGTTACTCACATACATTAAAAGGAGGGTTCCCCTCCCCAGGGAGGAAAATGGAATATGATAACAAATATTTATTGAGATCCTATCATGTGCCAGGTACTATGCTAAGTTCTTTTATAATAGGCCTCTCTATAAAAGATGATAGTCATTTAAAAGATCACAGGTGCATGTATAAAATTAAACTTATAATTTATAAAGTGATCTGATGCATCTCCAAATATCCTATATATGAGAATGTCACTTTCATGTGTAATGCAGTCAAATTTTCGTCACTACTGAGGGTCAATTATGTGTTAAGTACTGGACTACAGTGGGGATACTGAACGGACAGGGTCACTGCCTTCTTCACTGCTGGGGACTTCCTCACAGCATGGACAATTGTCTCTGGTCCTTGGAGGTGTCAGCTTTGAGTCACCCTAGAACTAAAGGAAATTTTTGAAAAATATGTCAGGGTTTGTGACCTTGGTGAACTTTAACATATTTGTGTATTTAAGATTGATTTGGGTCAAGCCAACCCTTCTCCTGGGAAGGAAAATTGCAGCCATTAGGTAAGTCAATAGGAAACACCTCTGTTGGTGAATCAGGGGTGACATTATCTTCCTAGGACTTTCATATTGTTGGTTTAGGATTTTGAATACCTTGCTAAACTAACTTTAAAAAATAACTTCTTGGTCCTCACAATAGAAATTGAGCCAAAGCTGGTTTACATGTTCATACTGGCATTTGGCATGAGTCATGAGAAATGAGGATATTTATTTCCCCAGAAAGGAGGAGAATCTGAGTTAACTTTGAATCCCTCTCTGTGGCCCAACATAGTGCCTTAGGCAGACTGTTGCTCAATAAATATTTGCTAATCCAAAAGCCACTTAGCCAGAGATCTGTATCTACAAAGAAAGGTCTTCTTTGCCAATCTGTCAGAGGGCCTGCACTGTGGAACCGCCCTATATATTGGAACCTTTGCCCATGAGGAACTCTATCAGGGAGTCAGGAACTGGTTGGGTTTATATAACCTTCTGTTTGCCAGGTATGGCATCCAGGTAAAATTAGAATGTAGTAAGCCACCCTGAGCATAGATTTCTTCCTTCTCCCAGGCTCTACAGCTGGCCTGCTGGTCGTTCTCCCTGTTCACATCTGGGAAGCATCACTAAGCCCTAGTGAGAGAAGAATTCCAGTTGCAACATTCTGATCAGCGGCTGTGCTGGGGCAATGGAGGAAGGGCAGCCCCAGGCACAGAATGATGCAAGTTTGTGCATCTGATGACGGCTTGTGGGGGAAGCTGAGAACTGTAGGAAAGGCCCCACCAGAAGACCAGGAATCCCAAGTTAATGATTACAGTGCAGTAGAAGTAAGGACAAAAAAACGAGAGCTCATGGGAGAAACCAGGAGGACTTTGGTGAAGTTGAAAATGAGGCAGAGAGGGGATTCTGAATTGTAGGAAATTCCAAGAGGCAGGCTCATGTTCTGTTTGTGAAAAACCAAGTTCGGAATGACTGACCAGTGGTAAGCCAAGAGAAGATTCTGAAATATTCGGGAGCATCTGATAGCAAACGAAGGAGACTTTGAATTACAAATAGAAGAAAATGGAAAATCAAGGCAGTTTTGAGGAAGGGTAGCTTTGCAATCTTTACAGAGAATATTTCAGTTGACTACACTATTTAACAGGAGGGATCTATAGAAGCTGGTGTGAAGGCTGGATTAATGAGGTGGGCGGAGCAGGTTGCTCTGGTGTGGCTCAGATGCGACTTTCAGACGGGGCAGAGCGTGGCGTTACGCAAATACAGTGGCTACCAAAAGCGGAGTAGCCCAGGCACCCAGCATGGCTGCTGAGCTCTCAGAGGTGGGTTTGGAAAGACATGTGTTCAGAGCATTGCTCAGAAGTGAGCTGGGCTCCCAGAAGCGCTGTAATTTCTTTAGATCATCTGATAGCTGTCTCCGATGTTTACCAGCTTCAGGGAGATCAGGCCATTGTGAATTTTTTTTTTTTTTTTCTGTAATAAAACTAGCCCCAGCCAACCAGACTGGGAACTTACTGCCTGAGCTGTTTTCCAACATGGTTTTGCTGGCAAAACCAGACAAGAGTGTTTCCTTTACTCTCAAGGGCCCTGTTTACACTGACTTTATTTTTACTGCCAGCTTTCAAGTGGGAAGAGGAAGATTCTATTTAAAGGTCAGCAGGTGAGCAGAAGGATCCCTCTCCTGCTATTCCTGGGGGTGCCTGTCCATGTGTGCATGCCTCTCTCTGTTTGTACCTTTGTGTGTGTGTGTGCGTGTGTGTGCATGTGTGTGTGTGTGCTTTTCCACATGCAAATTATTTGTGCCCTGATCTGATTGATGAGACCAGATCACTTGTTTGTAGGCATAATGATGGGTGCCTGGCTGGTTGTTTGGCAGTTCCCTGTTTGTTTATTGTAAAGAAGGTAAATCAATCTGTGGGATTTTCTGGATTGGAGGGCAAGGAATATTTACTGTCAACAGGATAAGAACAAGGAGATATAAGATACTGGGCTGCAGGGTGCATCTAGTGTTGGGACAAGAGCATAAAAAGGCGGGGAAGAAGCCAACTACAGAGCATTTCTATCTTGAGATTTAAGTATCTGAGTGGGAAATACAACTTGGGAAAATTGCCTTTGGTCAAAGCACCCGTCAATAGAGCTAAATTGAGTCAAATTAAGTTGGACTCGAATTCAGTTTCAATTTCATCAACTCTCCTTTTTAAATTCCTTTTTTTTTTTTTTTTAATTCCCGAAAGATGACAGACAGATGCTCCCAATTTGGAAATGAGAGCTGGAGGGAAGAACTGAGAAGGCCAGTCTCTGGTCCACGTACACATTCTCAAAGAAATTTAGCACCGAGACTAACATTCTTGGGAAGCCAACCTGCAAGTATCCTCCACTGAGGGACAAACCAAGACATTGCTGCTCCATTGAGGATTGACCAACAAGCCATGAAATCCCTGACTGCAGGAGACTTGGAAGACTGCCTTATGACTAAGGTAAGGACAGGTACGGGTCTCTCCCACATTCCCACCCCATCCCTCCTGCCCCACCAACCTGGATTCAGAAGGGATGTCAGGCTGCTTCCAAAGATGCATGAAATGCTCCTCGGGAACCCCAGACCATCACCCATAAGAGTGTTTAGGGAGGGCGCCTGGGTGGCCCAGATGGTTAAGCGTCTGCCTTCGGCTCAGGTCACGATCCCAGGGTCCTGGGATCGAGCCCCGCATCGGGCTCCCTGCTCGGCGGGGAGCCTGCTTCTCCCTCTCCCCTCTCCCCTCTCATGCTGTTTCTCTCTCGCTCGCTCTCTAAAAAATAAATAAAATCTTAAAAAAAAAAAAAAAGAGTGTTTAGGGACTTAGCCTTATTTCAGTCCTCTCTCTGAGATTCTAGTGCCAGAAGCCCTTTGGGTACAGACTGTGGAACAGAAAGTTAGAACGTGGGTTGGAACTCCATCTCTGCCATTGGTACTGGGTATAGTTATGAGGGAGGCACGGAACCTGCCTGAGCCTCAGCTTTCTTCTCTGTCAAATGGGGGTGATAGTAGGGTCACTGAAAAAGAGTAAATGAAATTAAGAATGCCCTTTAGAAACTATAAAACTGCTAGATTTAAAAATATATATCACATATTTAGTATAAATCCATTAAGAGTTCATTGAATTTCTTCTTTAGAGAGTCATAGACTCTTAGAGTGTTAGAACTGGAAGGGACCTTACATATTATCTAACTTAATTCAGCCTTTCCATTTACTGATGAAGCTATTAAGGCACAGAGCCACCCGTAAAACCAGAACATTTAAAGTAAGATTAGGGACTTGTCTAAGATTAGGGACATGCCTTCACAAGTAAACAAAGCAGAGTTCATTATCACAGTGATAAGTTGATTTTGTAGGCAAACCACTTAGATAAATAGGGGAAACTTAAAGATGATAAAAATTACAGCCAACAGGGGCGCCTGGGTGGCTCAGTCGTTAAGCGTCTGCCTTCGGCTCAGGTCATGATCCTGGGATCCTGGGATCCTGTGATCGAGCCCCGCATCAGGCTCCCTGCTCTGCAGAAAGCCTGCTTCTCCCTCTCCACTCTCCCTGCTTGTGTTCCCTCTCTCTCTGTCTCTCTTTCTGTCAAATAAATAAATAAAATCTTAAAAAAAAATTATAGCCAACAAAGTGATTTCCCATTATTTCCCCTTTTGGGGGCTATTATAAATGGAAGGGGTGCTGGCTGGCATTTTCCCATGGTCCTGTGTTTTCTGAAAGAAAAAAAAGTCCAAATTTCTTTTAGCCTGGCAAGTAATACTTTATCTTTCCACGCTGTTTCCCTGCTCTCCAATAGCAGAAATTCTAAACAGTGCTCTCTACATTGAATCCAGCCTGTGCACAGGTTTTCTTTGGCCTGCAGAGTATTTTTAAATTTTTTCAGATTTGTTACAAACATTTCATAATAGTGGGATTTTGCATAGAAATCCAGATTTCCCTCTTCTGTGGAAAAAGGAAAACATCAGGATATCTGTCAACCACAGGTCCCGTTTCTTGCCTGGCAACCGTGGATTGGGGCTGAGTGTCTGTTCAACAGAGCATGTGCTCACGGGTTCTCTGGGGGCTGTGGCACTCCTGCGCCCCCCCTCAGCCCTTCCTCTCGTGTGCGTCCACCCTCTGTCCCTGTAGGTGGTGAGTCTGCCGGGCATGCCCCACAAATACCATGTCCTGAGAAAGCCTAAGGCCTGAGCTGATCCTCTCTCCTCTGCCAGGGGACACATCCTCTCTCCTCTCCATTTCCATTTCTCTGGCTCATACTCATCCTTCAAATTCAGCTCAGAGCCTACCTTATCACGAAAGATTTCCTTGACACCCTAACCAGAATGTTTTGGCTTCCCTTTGAACTCCTGTCGTAATTATTACTGACAATATTTGTTTGGCAATCAGTTGTGTATTGACTCTTGGCATCTTTCCTATTATTATCTTGGGTGGCAACTTAAATATCATCTCGTTTTATTCTTTTTTAATTTAATTTTTATTTTTTTTATTTTTTTAAAGATTTTATTTATTTATTCATGAGAGACAGAGAGAGAGAGAGAGAGGCAGAGGGAGAAGCAGGCTCCCAAGGAGCAGGGAGCCCGATGTGGGACTCGATCCCAGGACCCTGGGATCATGACCTGAGCCGAAGGCAGACGCTTAACCATCTGAGCCACCCAGGCGCCCTTGTTTTATTCTTTACAAGTTTCTGTAGGGGATGAGAGTGTCTCGGGTATCTTCATTCCCTTTGACATTCCCAGATGTGGTCAGAATATCTTTAGGAGTCACTGAAGATAATACAAGAATGGTGTAAAAGGTGCTGGCAGATTGAGGCCCAGGCAGGATCTCATGGAATCTATCAGCAACCGTGTGGCGTGTGCCCAGTACCTCCAATAACTCGACCAAAGTCACACAGCTAGATAGTGAAAGTGCGAGGTGTCGGTAAGAAAATTCTGTTTTACTCCAAAGCCGTATTTGCTCTGCTAAACCCCTCTGTATCTCCACAAACACACACTGAGCACCTGCTGCGTGCAAAACACTGTGCCCAAAACCCAGGTCCAGGATGTGGCCCGTGAACTGAGAGGGAAAATGTGTTTGGGGTGTCTTTAAGGATGGCCCTCTCCCTCCTGCAGATTTTGCACATAACTCCAAGGGTGAAAGGAGAATGTTCCTTGTGCAGACAGGGAAATAACACAGGGCAGACCGCAGGGCTGCACCGGAGATTTCCACAGGGTGCTGGAGGAGAACTGAGGAGTGTTGGCTCTCAGGGGGGAGGTGTGGTACAGCAAGAGGAGTGGAAACTCAGCCTGAGAGCACGCATGGGGTTTTAACAAGTGGAGGAGTACTGGAGAGGCCTTCCTGGCGGAGGGAACCCCATTCAAGCAGTCAGTGTGGGTGTCGTGCCCGGCAGCCTTGTCCCTGGGGAGGCCGAGCAGTACAGTGGTTACGAACGTGGGCTGCCAGGTGCCCAGCATGGATCCCCGTTCTGGGGCTTACTGACTGAGGCGGGACCCAGAGCAAATTCCTTACGCACTCTGAACTTGAGTTTCCTCCTCTGTAAAATGGTGATGATCGCAGCATCCACCTTCCAGGATTGTTGGGCAGCTCAAGGGGGCTGCAGAGAGGGTCCTGCACACAGGAGGGCCTCCCGTCCCAGCTCCGTGGTGCAACCGTTGCTGTGATTTTTGCGCAGCTGTACGGAGTCTGTGGGGCCCCAGCATCTGGCTCAGGGAAGAATGGGTCTGAGAAGATGGGGATATGATGGTGGAAGGCCGCCTATCTCATCTGTAGGTAGCACCTTAACGTCTCCATCCTTTTAGATCATTAATCCTGGAAGACAGAGATGGTGCTTGTCCTGTGTTTTTTTTTTTTAAAGATCCGATTATTGGATTTAATGCAATTCCAGAATTAAAATGTCTGGCAGGATTTGCAACGACGTGGATGGAACTGGAGGGTATTATGTTGAGTGAAATAAGTCAAACAGAGAAGGACATGTATCATATGACCTCACTGATATGAGGAATTCTTAATCGCAGGAAACAAACTGAGGGTTGCTGGAGTGGGGGGTGGGGTGGGAGGGATGGGGTGACTGGGTGATAGACACTGGGGAGGGTATGTGCTCTGGTAAGCGCTGTGAATTGTGCAAGACTGTTGAATCTCAGATCTGTACCTCTGAAACAAATAATGCAATATATGTTAAGAAAAAAAAAAAGAAGAAGAAGGTAGCGGGAGGGGAAGAATGAAGCGGGGGAAATCGGAGGGGTAGACGAACCATGAGAGACGATGGACTCTGAAAAACAAACTGAGGGTTCTAGAGGGGAGGGGGAGTGGGAGGATGGGTTAGCCTGGTGATGGGTATTGAGGAGGGCACGTTCTGCATGGAGCACTGGGTGTTATGCACAAACAATGAGTCATGGAACACTACATCTAAAACTAATGATGTAATGTATGGGGATTAACATAAGAATAAAAAAAAACAAAGAAAAAAAGGAGAAAAAAAGAAAAAAAAATGTCTGGCAGGAAGTTCTCAGCCTTTTATCCCCAGGGGCACTCACCGTGGGTGACAGCCACACGGGCCACATGCTCTTGGGGGCCAGGCCCGTGTGACATTCCTGGCATGCGACTGAGCGCCGCCCCTCCACCTGTCTCCGGAAAGCACGTCGGAATGCAAGTGAGTCAGAATGGTGTTATGATAGGCAATAACCTTGAATTCTCACTGATTTATATTTGAAACAGTAAATTGTTCTGAACTCGAGCTATTAATAGTAGCAGATGATGTGTGGGGCAACAGTGGGCCAGACGCTGTGGCTGGGGAGGAGGAAGGTGGCCTGGGATGGGGAAGTGTACGTGTGTGGGGACAGGTCCACGTGCCCTGGAGGGAGGCCCACAGAAACTACATGGCACCCTTCAAGGGGGCCTCTGATGACTGTTTTTGCAAAAACTCTGCTTCATTAGAGTTCCTGAATTGGCTCGCTAACAAACGGCGTGTAACTTTCCGGGGCCAGTGGGACGGAAGGGAGGATGAGAAGACATAACCCTGGTCTAGCATTGTGGGTCTGGCTAATTTCACCCAATTCCTTTCTGCTCGCGCTTTGTCCCATCCACAGAGGTAGGCTTTTAAAAAGAAAAGCACACCTATGTTCACTGACCTAATCCTCGGAGGAGGCGAGTGAAACTCACACGCGCACTGAGGTCACGTTTGGACTGAATGTGCCTTGATTCCTTCTTCGGAAGTGACCTCTTTCCCCCTTACGTGTGTTCCCAAGCTGCGCCGTGGAATGGGTCTGGTGACAGGCCGCCTCAAGGCTGCACCTGGTATCTTCCTGAAGTTGGACCCACACGAAAGGGCTTCTGGGCTCGGGCATGCGACGGGTCTCTGCGTGTGGTGGCACCTCCTTCTTCCCCCAAGATCACTCCCTACAGAGCCGCCTCGGGCCCCATTCCCTGCTTTTCCACACCCTGAAATGGAATCTTCCTGCACCACCTTGC